GCGCCCCAGCGCGGCGCATGCGCGGCCGCGTGCCCCCCCCCACCGCAGCACCCCCTTTATCTGACAGGTGCCAAGCGGCCGTCACAGCACCCGACAAGACGGGGCCACCTCTTCTGAAGCCTCTGAACCAAGCCAAGCCACGGACCTCGGGGCCTTTGCTTGCCCCATGCCACTCCTGCTTCCAGAAACTTCCACCAGCCCTCCAAAGTCCTAAGGCCCAGCCCACCCTGTCTGTCTCTCAGAAGGCCCCGCTGCTTTCTGCTCTCTCTCGAGTGCCACTTTGTCAAGGTTTCAAGCTTAGGGACGGATAGTTTGTTTTTCTCCTTTTACTTTTCCCCCGACGCTGTCCCTGAGCTTCGCCGGCGTCCAGGGCCGGCCTTCTCCCTCTGAGCCACAGCTCCGCTTCTGACTTTTTGCTTGTTGATGGGAGATAAGAGTCGCAGGGGCACAGGGCGCTGGCTGGCTTCCAACCTGGATGCTCAGATCTCAGCCTCCTCCTGAGTGGTTAGGATTTCAGGCAGAGCCACTGGTGCCCGGCTGTGGCCACAGTCTCTGCTGTAACTACTGAGCTCTGCCCTGTAGTCAGAAGGCTTCCTTAGCCCCTGCGGCTCACGCCTGTCATCCTAGCTGCTCAGGAGGCTGAGATCTGAGGATAGCAGTTCAGAGCCAGCCCAGGCAGGAACGTCTGTGAGACCCTCATCTCCAAGAAACCACTCAGAAAACCGGAAGTGGCACTACAGCTCGAGAGGCAGAGCTCGCCTTAAGCTGAAGAGCTGAGGGACAGCGCCCAGGCCCTGAGTTCAAGGAAAAAAAAAGAAAAGAAAAAAAGACATTTCAAACCGGGAGCCGGTGGCTCATGCCGGTAACCCTAGCTACTCAGGAAGCTGAGATCTGAGGATCACAGTCAAAGCCAGCCATGAGACTCTCAACTCCAATTAGCCACCAAAAAGCCAGAAGCTGAGCTGGTGGCCCAAGTGGTAGATCACTATCCTTGAGCTGAAGAACTGAGGGACAGTGCCCAGGCCCAGAGTTCAAGCCTCATGACCAAAAAAAAAAAAGGCTTCCTTAGACAATATGTAAATCAAAGCATGGCAGAGCGCCAATAAAACTTTATTTACAAAAACAATGGTGCGCCAGTTGGCCCCCAGTGAAGTCTGATGCTAATAGCAAATCTGTCCTCCCAAACAGAAGAGAACCGGGAAACCCTCCCGACATGGACCACCCTAGGGGGCTCCTCCAAGCAGGGGACCAGCCAGGGGCTGCCTCAAACCGTCCGCGGGCCTGAGTTCCCATCTGCTGGGTAGCTTTTGGGTGACTACTGCAGCCCTAGGCTGTCCTAGTTTTCAGACTCTAAACAAAGACTTTACTGAGTCCTGCTGGGAGCACAGCTGTGATGCTGGTGGTGCTGCAGCCATCTTGGGCCCAAGAAGACAAGACCACACAGGAAAGATAAGGCAACAGCCCCCAGGAGTCTGCTTCTTCAGAAGCCAAGTGAGCTCAAATGGCTACCTCAGGACTTCTTTATCATGGGAGGAAAAGCCACAAAACCCTTTCGGTTAAACCACGTTGGTCAGGTTTCTAGGATACAGCCACAGGCAGCCTGACCCACGTGACCATGACGCCCAGAGTCCCCAAGGCTATGCGGATAGTGGCGGGCGGAGCCGGAGCGGGCAGGGCCACAGACTAAGGAAATGGGGGATCTCCATAGGAAGAGGCCGGCCAGCTCCAAGAGTGAGCAGGGCACCTGCAACCCCCGAATCACCCACAAACACCAGAACTTGAACGTGGTGTCTGCGGGGGGCACCCGGGCCAGCTCCCCCAAGGACAGCTGAGAAGCCAGGGGGCCTGTCCTGGCTGGGAGGGGTGACAGGGGCCCACCCGACCGACCCCTCCCCCCCAGCCCGTTCCTGAGACCCTGGCAGCCGCCCCGAAGGGAGGGTACTGTTAAGACCCACCCGAGAGCGGCCCTCAAAACCTTCGCACCGCCCAGGATGGCTGAGGAAGGCGCCTTGGCCAGGGAGGGTGAGGAGAGGGGAGGGAGTCCCCGAGCAGCCGGCGGGCCGGCTCACGCCTGTCCTCCTAGCTACTCAGGAGGCTGAGATCTGAGGATCGTGGTTCAAAGCCAGCCCGGGCAGGAAAGGCCATAAGACTCTTATCTCCAATATACCACCAGAAATTCTGAAGTGGGGTTGTGACTCAAGTGGTAGAGCGCCAGCCTTGATCAGAGAGAGCTATGTGCTAGTAGCCCAGGCCTGAGTTCACGCCCCAGCACAGGTACACACAGACACACACAAAGGAAAATACTGAACACACCAGCCCCACGCCATCAAGCACACGAGGTTGCTGCAATTCAGCCGCGTCTCCCGCTGTCCCTCCCCACCCCAGGCCTGGGGAGCCCTGCAGCTCTGCACCGCCTTCTCCCCCCCCCACCGCTGAGGGGCAGGGGTCCCCAACCCCGTGGCCACACGGAAAACCCTCCGAATATCCCGGCCACACCACTGAGAAGAAACAGGCAGGGCTGGGGTTGGAAACCAGGCCTGTGCGGCTCTTCCTGTGCCCCTTCCCGTGCACGCAGAGACCGCAGCACAGCCAGCGCCGCAGGACGTGCCCACCGCCCCGGCCAGCGGGCATGGAGAGCGTGGAGGCCCAAGGTGCCAGGGTGCGGCGGAGGTGTGGGAAGGACGGCCGGGGGCTGCCACAGGCCCAGGGCCCTCTGGCCCCTGCGCGCCTGCCGCACGCGAGAGCCGGCACGAGGCCAGGCGCGCTGGGCTGGCAAGCGGCCAGGCTGGAATTCAAACCAGGCTCTGCTGAGCTCTGGGCAGGGTGTGGCGGCTGTGCGGCCACGGCCTTCCCTGGGCCCAGCCTCCCAGCCTCCCCCCTCCACGTGGACCCGGGACGCCGGTCCCGCCTGCAGCCTGGGTGTCTGCTGGGGACCGCTAACGTCCAGAGGTTCCTATAGCACAGGGTCCTGATGGTGCAGCAGGGCGGGGAGGGGAGGGGAGGGGAGGGAAGGGCAGCTGCATCCCGGCTCACTGGAGGCATGGGGGCAGCTCCAGAAGCTTCCCCGCCCCCAGCTCTGCCTCCAGCTGGGGGGCGGGAAGAAAGCAGGATGGGAAACCCGCACAGGAGGGGAGCCATGGGGAGCAGATCTGGTCCAGGGATAAGTGTGTCCCCCTCCCTGGCAGTGGCCTCCCATTTCTAGCACCTGCTGGGCCCGTCGGTGCTGGGGACTCCAGACCCACCGTAAATGCGGGCGCCCCCCCCAGCACCATGGAGC